AACAGGGTTCGATCGCGCTTCTACTAGAGTGGCACCTTCGGCGACAAATAAACAGCTTTGGGGCCGAAACCAAATGTCAAGAGGAAGCCAACTCTGAGAAACTCAGCCGCTGGAGGAACCACACTCGGATTGGGAACTCCTCGGAGGTGTACCACGGCCTATTCATAGTTCGCTGGATGAAATCACTCAAAAACAACACAGTACTAAATCTTCGGAAATGCAAGGACTTGCTGCTTACCTTGACACACGCATCGATTGTCTCTTCAGCCATGTGCCTGTACGTGGTCCATTTTCCACCCGCAATTGTAACCAAACCGGAATCCGAAACCTGAGGATCACTTTTAGTTAGCAAAAAGATAAACTGAACATTTTCTAGAGTAATACAGTTAAATTCTCTAACAGCCTCTAGTATCTTGACGACGCCTGTGGTACACTTAGCGTCGTCGCGGTGCACGTAAAGATGGCTAGCTGGCACTTAGAAGATATATTCCAGATGAGCGAGACCCATAACCTTGATTGTTCTTCATTGGCTTGCTCCTCATCTTTACCACATTGAAAGAGGTACACTAGTGAGACCAGCTTATGGTTATGAGTCTCCGCCCACGTATGCCTCTTGATTCACGAGCCACTCAGGCTAGCGATTTTGCTATATCAAAAAACGACTAGTGCGAAGGACCTTTGAAGGTTTCTGAAGCGGAATGCTGATTAGCTTCAGTTGGGTATTAAAGGCAGTTGGCACGATAATTTGGTACTCTCAGCCTAAAATGCTAGCAGGGCGCTATCTAGTGGGAAAATGGCGAAAAAACGAAGTGAAACGGTCAAAAACTGCGAAGAAAAGCCTTCGTTCTTGAAAAGCAATTTCGGACGAGTTTCCCGTAGGCATATTGCAAATAACCGCTACGGTAGGTACGGCTGCATGTATGTACTCATATATCCATGCAGCACCGCAGCCGCTTCATACCAATCCCTTCGCTTCATATTTTACTTAGCAAATGAAGCAATACGAGCATCAGGTACGGTCGTCCATTTGTGGGCGGGCGGGCGTGGTGGGCGTTCGGGTCGGTATGTTGTAGCTTGATAGGACCCTTATAAGGGTACCTTCCTAGGAAAAATCGCTGTGCAGCGCCTGCTCAGGGTCGCGGAATTCCGCCCTGCCAGGCGTATCAATCCTACTCGTCCTTAGGGATTTACCAACTGCCTTTAAGTTACCCAGTATCCTCGAAACTCACCTCTATGATATGATTTCTGGCTATACTCTTCGTGTCCTTCTTGTTCGGGTCACGCACAAGTGGTCGTAGTCCTGACCATGCACTCATCACGTCACCACGTCGAATAGATACACTTTTGGACAAATATCCGCGGATCTCCTGAATAGAAAATTGTGAATGTCGAACGTATGTGAGAAGATATCAGGTAGAGCTGTCACAGCTACAGGAGCTACGCAGGATAGCAGTGAAAACTCACTCAAAGGCGCAGGCCGTGCTGGTTGCGTAGGCGGGAATCGGGGGAGCAGATTGTGCGTCATTGGTGGATGAGTGTTGAACCCCCCTCCTAAGGGACTTGTTGCCCGACTCCTCACCACCTTCCATCTATTGACATCTGACTCTTGCCCGCTCCGCCTCTCAGTACCAACTCAGTCACGGCGGCCCTCCAGGCTCACACTACATAAACCCCAACCAATATTCCTTGTGACATTTTAGGCAAAAAACCCTTAAGCTAACGCTTCAGAATAATTCAACGTCAGCATCTGTCGGGATGGGAGACAATGTGACCTCGGAAGGTTTATCTGTCGTTCCAGCAATAGTCATACGTTCCCATGGTAGGAAGAAAATCACGCGGCCATCTGAGGTGTCCGGATCCAAAAGCCCGGTACTCGATGGACTGGAAAAAGTAAAACACTATAAAAATTACGGGGATTCAAGAAAGGGGCTGGCTGCTGCTTTCTGAGGGCATGTGCTAACGCACATCTTCGAAATCGTAGGGAGGTAGCAGGTGTGCGCAGAACTAGGGAGGAGTTTAGAACAACCAAGTGCAGCGTTTTCGCTCCTTATGGTTTTGTTTAAAGGCAGTTGGCACGATGGTTTCCTACTTAGCCTAAAATGCTAGTAGGGCGCTGTATAGTGGGGAAAATGCGAAAGAACGGAGTGAAACGGTCAAAATCCTGCGAAGAAAAGCCTCCGTTCTCAGTGACTTGTAAATCGATTTCGGACGAGTTCCCCGTAGGCATCTTACCAATCACCGCTACCGAAGATACGGCTGCATATGTGTACTCATGTATGCATGCAGCATCACGGCCGCTTCATACCATCCCTTTGCTTCATAATTTGCTCAGCAAATGAATGAATACGAGCGTCAGGAACGGTCGTCCGTTTGTGGGCGGGCGGGCGAGGAAGGCGTTTGGGACGGAATGTTGTTGCTCGATAGGGCGTTATAGGGGTACCCTCCTTGGAAAAGGCGCCACGGAGCGCCTGTCCGAGGTCACGGAATTCTGTTAAGCCAGTCGTATAAATCCTACATCTGTATAGCGATTCATCGTGCCAACTGCCTTTAAACCGTGAAAAAGGGATAATCTGAAGAGTGAAGACGAGACTACTCGTACAAGGAGGGACACCAACGAATATTTGAGCGAGAGAGTGTTTTAAGTAAATTGCCATGCTTTCTTGTGCTGGACAAGTTACAATATAATCTCCACAAGTATTCCGAAACGAAAATATCCCACTAAAAACGCAGCTGTCCCCACATTTAAATGGGGTGTATAGTCACGCTCTTCTCATCTCCATTATATCAAATGTGTCTGTTAGCCCCATATTTAGCACGAGAAGCAGTCCGCTGTAAGAGAAATGTTACCTGTAGTATCCTGGCAACACTATATGCACACCGGAACTAGGGGCACAAATCGGCTTCGTGTTCGGATCGGCCATTACGCGGATCGTGTCGGTGAACGGTCCGGTGGCGTTAACGACAGCTTTCGCTTTGATGTCCCATTCATTGTTGGACATCTGGGAGTGAAAATTTGTTTATAACTTCCTTTTCTAGGAACAAATCTAGCCAATTAAAAGAATGTAACATACCATGTCTTTAACATGGGCGCCGCATACTTTTCCGTTGGCGTCTTTCAGTAAGCGCTCCACTCTGACATGATTGGCACACTGAATTTCAGTAATTAAAAACGAAAAGAATTACGATTCAGACACGTGCATGGCACTCATACGAAGAGTGTAACAGTCTTCGTCAATACCCCCTTGAAACGCGCTAGGAGTCCCAGTCTTATTGAGGGTCACCGCAAGACGGAAGGCTCGGTTCCTTTGAGTTGACCACCGTCCTGCTCCACCACCCGTCATCTTTTTACAGGATATGAGTAACGCGCTTACATGCAATGGATACGTACGGGCGAGGTCACCGAAACCCCCTGCCCACCTAGAGGGACCCACACAAGGGCAACCGGGCGGTTGCCATGTGCTCGGGGTATGGCGAGCAGAACTATTTCAAGAACGGTAAGAAAAGAAATGGAGAAAATGGAGGGCTCACCTTTGCTCCGTGCCTTATGGCCGTCAGGACTATCGCTAAGTTCATTCGAGCATCGTTGTGCGTACCGTCGTAGTATATCAAAGCACCCTTGAGCGATTCGCTTTTCAACATAGGGAACCTTAACGATATACTTTTCCTCACCGTAAGTGCACAGTATTACAACAAAGCTATAGTTTAAGGTACTGCCGTTGGGGGAAGGGCTGATAGGACTATGCTGCGCCATCTTTAGTCATCTGAATTTCTTTGATGGTAAGACTAAGCATGTTGGGGGGGGGGAAAAGAGCTACTCTCCAGGATCGCGCAGATGAGCAGGCTTATTGTTAGTAGCGCCGCGGTGGGTTTCCCCCTAACCTGTGCACGTCATCGCGGTTGAGTAAAATTTTTGCTAAATACGATTCTGCTCACCAGTTTTCTCCTTCGGTAACACCACTTACACGACCTGCCTACCTTTACCCTCTTACCGATTTACCTCGAAAATTTTGCCGTCAACGGCGAGGCCAACCGAGGATAGTTTTGCAACGCCCTGATGAAGCGTAGATAAGTCGTCAAAATGAGAAAACTCAACA